GCCCGGGGGCGAGGGTCCCGGCGCCGCGGCCGTGTCGCAGCGCCCCACCCCGGCTCCCGGGCCCTGTGACGGGGGCCGCGACCCTCCTGACGGCGAACCCCGTGCGCGGGGAGGACCCGGGAGCGAGCCGCGAGCTCTGCACGGAGGATCTCGTGTAGCTCCCCGCGGGGCTGTCTTAGCTTTGGCAGAAAGGTCACCGGGGCGACCGTGCGGGAATGACAGGCGTGACAGGCACCGGGCGCGGGCCTCGCCCCTTCCCGGGTTTGTTCGGAAGCCGCGCGGGGCGGAGCCGGAGTGGCGGTGTCCTCACGGAGCTCCCGTTCTCTCGGCAGCGTTCGGACTCCAATGGGTGATGAAAAGGACTCTTGGAAAGTGAAAACTTTAGATGAAATTCTTCAGGAAAAGAAACGACGGAAGGAACAAGAGGAGAAAGCAGAGATAAAACGCTTAAAAAATGTAAGCCATGTTTTTTAAGTAAGTGGTTTTCTTAAAGGAGATTTAATTTCTTTGCCCTCGTTTTTCCATTAGAACAACGCTTCTTCGGTGAAGTTCTTTTGTACTTCCAAATGTCGCAGGTGAGCCCAAACCTATTCTAAGAATTAACAAAGACGTTCAAATACTCAGTTTACGTTGAGGACAAACTGATAACATGCTACAGCTGTGTGTAGACGGCAGGCTCTACGTGGAGAATGAAGTGCTTTGAGCCTAAATTCATTAGCACAGTGGGACTAATTTTTCCCGTATTGATATTTTTCCGTTTGTGACACCATCTCTGTGTAGTATAGTAGGAAGTCGCGTTGAAATTAATGTTTTATCTTTTCCTTTTTCGGTTTGCATAATAACATGTTCAGAGAAACTCTTGGTAATTTTGAAAGGGATGTTGGCAAAAGTACCTCTTCTGATAATGTTAGTCACTGACCCTTCCTAACGATTGGTGAAATATCACGAAGTATCTGGCATGAAATATATCTTAGGGCTCAATTTCGGCTTCTGTAAACAACTAACATACTTGGCATAGAGTCTAATATTCCTTGTCCTGTATGCTGGTTTCGGATTTTTCATCTCAGGTTCTGAGTTTACAGTGAGTTTTAATTTTAGCATCATGTGATTTGAGTGAAAGTTTTTTCATGTTTTGTAACATTGGTCCATTCAAAGCATATGTGAAACTTTGTTTTTGGATGTTGGCAAGGTTTGATTATCATTAAAAAGACACTTATGTGAGGAAAATGACTTTCTCCTTGCTTCTTAGTCTGATGACCGGGATTCCAAGCGGGATTCCCTTGAGGAGGGGGAGCTGAGGGACCACCGCATGGAGATTACGATACGGAACTCACCATACAGAAGAGAGGACTCCATGGAAGACAGGTGGGGGCGAGGTGTACAGCAGGGAAGAGCGTGGAGGCCGGCTGGGTCCCACCGCATGGCAGGGGCCCTGTCTGACTTTTCTCAGTGTTACTTTGAAAACATCTGTAGTCCTGACTTCAGGTTTACCTCACAGTTGAGATAGATTGTGTGTTATCACTTGCCACCGCACCCCTGTTATGAAAATTGAGTGAGTGTATATCTCTTTCCTTGCAATTATCCTTCAATTAAGTCCACAAACTACATTTGTTTATTTGTTTGTTTGTTTGTTTTTAAGGATTTTTATATTTTTGAGAGAGTGCAAAGAGTGGGGGTAGGGGCAGTGGGAGAGGGAGAAGCAGACTCCCCGCTGAGCAGGGAGCCCAAACTAGGCTCCATCCCAGGACCCTGGGATTGTGACCTGAGCCAAAGGCAGACATTTCTCCGACTGAGCCACCCAGGCACCCCTCACGAACTACATTTAAATAATTGTTCTGTATGCTTTTGATGATTAATAAAATCACTGCCTAAAATTGTGCACAGATAAACCACATTAGAGTACTGAAGTATATTGAGCAAGTCCTGTAAGCAGAAATGGTCCTACCCAGGCCTGTGTATTCTAACATTTTTCCCTGCACCACTTGATTCCTTCTCGTACCCATCATCAGCACCAGATTATCCATCATCAGATAATTAAAGCCAACCTAACCAGAAACTAAGGTACAGAGACATAGATCAAGAAGTCTCCCAGGATTTCAGTCATACAGGCAGTTGAAGATACTGTTGAGGGACCTTTTGGGGTCATTAAGTTCATTAAAATCATGGTACCTTTTTTTTAACAGCTTTGTTGGTATATAAATGACAAACTGCATATATATGAAGTGTGCAGTTTGACATATTTGTACATATTTGTGCAGTTATGATCAGGGTAATGAACATGTCTGTTGCCCCCTAAAGTTTCCTCAGAGAGGCATTGTTCCATATAGACGTTGATTTTTCACTTACACTTTTGATCTGAGTCTGTATTTGACAAGCAGTTTTGGCTTAAGTTTCGTAGTTAACAATATTTAAAACGATGGTTCAGATTGCACTCTTTTGTATTCTGAACGCTGCATGTTTCTGGGTTAGAGAAGCTCCACAGTACCCTGAGGCTCCTTTCATTACTCTCTAGCATGGTGTGATGCTGTTGTGTATTTCAGAGGAGAGGAAGATGATTCTTTGGCTATCAAACCACCACAGCAAATGTCTCGGAAAGAAAAGGCTCATCACAGGAAAGATGAAAAGAGGAAAGAGAAACGTAGGCATCGTAGCCATTCAGCAGAAGGGGGTACAGAAGCTTTTTTTTTAATTAATTTTTTTTTTAGGTTTTTTGTTCGTTTTGTTTGGGGGTTTTTTTTGTTTTTTTTTGTTTTGGTATCCTGCTTAAGTGTGGTCTGTTCCTATATTATGATCTGCTGTCTTCTCCAGAGCACAATTGAAAGAGAAGAGAAAGTAAAATTTTAGCTGAAAGCATAAATTTATTGTAGATCATTCTGAATAGGTGTTTCATTCTTCTTCTGGTGTTTTTTTCCCCTTGTTACATTGTTGTGGGTTAGTTCGTTTAAATGTCATACTGTCTTAATTCAACAAATATAGGGGATTTACATGCGATTTTTATAGCAGTTCAGTGTTGAATTAACTGAAAATAAAAAGATGTTTGATGAAGTCCAAATGGGTTTGATCTCCTACCATTAAGAGGTTCTTAGGGGTGTTGGGAAATATGGCCCTGGCACCTGGTTTAAGTTTCATGTTATCGATGCAGTTGGTGAACATGGTTCTGTCACACAAGATGGAAATCCACCATAAGGAGTTGAACTTTGTCCTGTGTTCTTTACGAATGACGATGATGTTGTTTAATGACGGAACTGGTATACAGCTAACCCTGCATGGGCTGGAACTTCATGGTCCACTTGCACACGGATTTTTCCTGGTAAACACAGGACAGTGCTGCAAACACACTTTCCCTTCCTTTTAGTTCTTCTAACGATAGTCTCTTTTCTGTAGCTTACACAGTTTAAGAGTACAGTAGGGAACACGCGTGACACAAAAGATGTGTTGTCAGTAAAGCTTCTGTTCAGCAGTAGGCTGTTAGTAGTTGACTGTTAAGGACTCATAATTACCCTTGGATTTCCGGCCACAGGGGTGTCGGTGCCCCTGCCCTGTGTTCATTGGTCAGCTATAGTCCAATCATAGTTTATTTAGTACAGAAAATTGAGAAACAAGATGCAGTTACAATTCTATTCAGCGGTCACCACGTTATTTTTCCCTGAGTCGGAGACTCCAAGTCATTAATTGAGTATTCTCTTCTTCATTGGGTATTTGCAAATTAAGTTTTGGGAGTTGGGCCCCTTTGCATGACACACTCTTTCTCCTTAGGGAAGCACGCTAGAGCAAAGGAAAAAGAGCGAGAACACGAGCGCCGGAAACGGCACCGAGAGGAGCAGGACAAGGCTCGCCGAGAGTGGGAGAGGCAGAAGAGGAGGGAGATGGCCCGGGAACACTCCAGAAGGGAGAGGTGAGTGAGCACAGTTTGCTAAGGAGGCTGAACGGAGCACTCCTGGCGCCAGTAGGCCGTCAAAGTGGCAGAAGAGACCATCTTGACACACACTGACCCAGCAGCATAACACAGATGTGATGCAGAAGTGGTTTGTGAGCCCAGAGTCACGGTGCAGTAAACGTGGTGGTGTAAACCAAGAGATTTGTCCTCAAGGGATTGAGCTTTTACTGCATCTTGAAGACTGAAATGGGTGTAAATCTTCCTGAGAAAAGATAATGAAGGGAATGGAACTCTGTGTGTCAGTTTCTCCAGGTGGAGGCTGCTGAGGGAGGTACTCGGGAGCGAGGCCATGCCGGCAGTTGCTCGAGACCCCGTGTAAGAGTGTGATGTGGACCTGAAGGAAGGGGCATTGCTGGCAGGAGCTGGGTCTGAGATAGGAATTCAGACACAGGGAATGAAGTTTTAGGGCCAAACACCTAACAGTGGAGAGGGAAAGGAAGGTAGAAGAGGGAGAAGTGATCTTCCTGGGCCTCTCAGCTGATGATGGGTGAGGGGGAGGAGGGACTGTAAATACCTCTGAGCTTGCTGCGTCAGGATGGGGCATGCCTCGTGAGAGGAAGGGGAGTACTGTGTTTGAATCATAGCTCTTGGAGATAGTCCAGTGCACGTATAGAAATCCTGACACAGAATCTGTACCCAAAAGAAGTCTAGTTTAGGGTGATTACTGGGCAAGTATTTATTGAGTGTGTGCTCTGTACCAGGCTCTGTTCTAGGTGGCCTAAACCAGGAAAACTAAGGAAATACATTGCTTCGGGTTCTCTAATAGACTCTAGACTGCAGAAATAGCCGGTAGTTCTTTCAGACAAAACAAAAGGAAATCCCAAGGGCTTGGTAGCAGCCTGGGAGCTGAGACACCAGACTCTTGGACATGTCTCCAAGTACAAGAGCCTCTGTGGGCTCAGATTCCCAGGAAAAAGCATCTGTTTAGCCCCAGATCTGTGGTGTGAATAGTAGGGCCACCTCTGTATAGTGAGGTCATTTCCAGAGAAAGCTTGGTGGGTGGCCTGCTACAAGGAAGGGAGAAGTAGGAGGGTAGATGTGCCAGCATTCCAGGAACCAAGGCCGAAGGGCTGACCTGACGAAGCTGTGACAAGAGCCTTTGTTCTCTCGTGGAGGCGGTGTGGGACGAGCTGAGTCTTCAGGTAGAGGTCTGAGATCGTGAGGTTAGCAGAGCTTTGTGTCCAGGTTCACTGCTAGCATGTGAAACACCCGTGTTTGCCAGGCCCTGTGCTGACTCTGCTTAGGATGGGCTGACAGCACAGCTGTGCACACACAGTGTAACTCCAAGGAAGCCAAGCCTGAAAATAAACAACGTATGGGGAAGAAAACAGCAGTGGCCACACTCTAGTCGGGAGACAAGAGTTCACAGATTAGCATGGCGTGTTACCAAACAAACGGCAACTGAGAGAAAAAATGAGAATCCAAAATTGCTACAGTATGTTATCTGAAACGTCCAATTTTCTTTTCTTTTCTTTTTAAGATTTTGTTAGAGGAGCACCTGGGCTGCTTAGTCGGTTAAGCATCTGCCTTCAGCTCAGGTCATGATCCCAGGGTCCTGGGATGGAGCCCCACGTCGGTCTCCCTGCTCAGTGGGGAGTCTGCTTCTCCCTCTCCCTCTGCCTGCCACCCGCCCCCCGCCGCTTGTGTTCTCTCTCTCAGTCAAATAAATAAAATCTTAAAAAAAAAAAAAAAAAGGTTTTGTTAGAGTGCCCCTGAAATATGTCCAATTTTCAACAAAAAATTTTGAGATATAAAAGAAATAGGCAAGTATGACTCTGTATTAAGGAAGAAAAGCATCAGTAGAAATCAAGTGTTCCACATTAGCAAGGAACTTGAAATGGAGTGATAGAAATTATGCTTTCTAAAGAATGGAGAGAATTGACAAAAGATGAACAGAGCCTCAAAGATGAAAAACATTTGGGGCGCCTGGGTGGCTCAGCTGGGATCCTGGGATCAAGCCCCACATCAGGCTCTTTACTCAGCGGGAGGCCTGCTTCTCCCTCTCGCACTCCCCCTGCTTGTGTTCACTCTCTCACTGTCTCTCTCTCTCTGTCAAATAAATGAATAAAATCTTAAAAAAAAAAAAAGATGAAAAACATTTATCTATACATCTAGAAGCTCATATCCCAAGTGGGATAAATAAAGTGACATCACAGTGAAACGTGAAAGCCAAAGAGAAAATCTTGAAAGCAGGAGAAAAAATCTACATAGAAGGGAGGCTTCAGTGTGATTGGAGGCTGACTTCTCAGAGTCAGTGAGGGTGGTGGAATGGCATGGTCCCACTGCGAAAAGAAAGCCTGGCAACCAGGAGTTCTGTATCCAGCAAAACTGTTCTTCCAAAGTGAGGGGGAATAAGGAAGATAAACTGGTGGAATTCATTGTTAGCAAGACCTGCCTTAAATACTCAAGGAGTACCTTCATGTTGAATGGAAATGACAGCAGAAGGTATCAGGGAAGAAAAGGAAGAAGGAAGAAAAGAGCACTGGAAATGGTAAAGGCTCAGGTTAACATAACAGAATCTATAAATGTTTTTTCTCACATCTTCTCAATTTCTATAGGAGACATAGGATTGCATAAAACAGTGACTATTAAAATGCTCTCCCGTGACGCGTAGCATGAGTAGGCTGCACAGAGAAGGGAGGGCCGGAGCTGTGTCAGAGCAGGGCCTCTGCATTCACTGGGACAACAAGGTGCATGCTTCCCGTGCTGGAGCGACCACTAGGAAAATAACTAATAAAGTAATACAAACAGAGCAATTAACATGGTATTCTAAAAATCCTTATTTAAACCAAAAAGGGAGAAACAGGACCTAAAAAGACAGGAGACAAAATTAAAACAATAACAAAAGGTAAATTCAGCCACATCCATAATTACAGGAAACATGGAGTGGTTTCTATACCCCAGAGAAGAGGTTATTTGATAGCAAAGCATGATGCAGTAAGTTGTCTGTAAGGAGAACCTCCGAGTCCAGGACAAAAATAGGTCAAAAGTAGACGTGTGGACAGAGATGTCCCATGCCCACAGCAGCTGCAGAGCACACCTGGCTCAGGCGAGACATCAGGGTTACCTGACAGAAGTCAGACCAGCGCTAACACAGGCTTCCCACGACAGAAGGGTCCGTGCAGCAGAAAGAAGTGATGGTGATGAGCGTGTGTGTGCCTGATAGCTGGAAGGAGAAATAGGCAGTTCATCCATCCTAGCTGGAAATTCAATGCCACAGTGTCATCGTTGACAGAACAGCTAGAGAAAAGGATATAAAACATCTGGAAAATAACCTGTACCAGATCAGTCTCACTGACCTTGCGTTTAGCACCCCACCCACAGCTGCAGAGTCCACGCTTGAGAGGGAACGTTGTCCAACATAGATCATATGTGGGCCACGCAAGTTCCGAATCTAAGAGAACTGAGGTTGTACAAAGTACACCCTCTTACCACGAAAGGATTGAAGTAGAAATCAACACAAAAAAACCTGAGGACATCCTCAAATGGAAATCCAGCAGTCCTTTCCTACATAACCTATGGCCCAAAGAAGAAATTAAAAGGAAAAACGGGTGCCTGGGTGGCTCAGTCGGTTAAGCATCCGACTTGATCCCAACTCGGGTCTTGATCTCAGGGTGGTGAGTTCAAGCCCTGCGTTGGGCACCTCGCTGAGAGCATGGAGTCTACTGGGGGGGGAAAAAAAAACATTTTGAACTGAATGAAAACAAAAGGAGTGTGCCAAAACTTAGTGATGCAGAAAAGGCTGTGCATGGAGTGAGATGTTTTGGCTTTTAAGCACTGATAACAGAGAAGGAAGTTTTCAGGTCAGCATCTGAGCTTCTGCAGAAAGCAGAGAACAGAGAAGCAGACTCAACCCAAAGCAAGCAAAAGGAATATCCACAGAATCCCAAGCAGATAGAAACAGGTTCGTGGGGCAGGCTAGGAGCTGGCCACAGATGGGCGTGAGGGGGCCTATCAGGCGATGGGAGTGTTTTAAAACTGGCTCGTGGTGATGGTTGCACAATTCCATAAATTTATGAAAAATGGAATTCTGTGGTTGGATTTCGTATGTTATGTTACAGCTTTTATCTCACGACAGTTTGGACTCAGGCACTTAGAGAATAGTTTCTAGAATCCCAGCCTTCCGCAGTGGTGACATCTGATAGACCCCAAAGTTGGTACAGGACTGGTGACTGGACCACGGGCTTGTTCTGTTTTCACCATTGTTTGTGCTCATTTCTGTTTGTGTATACTGGTACGTGCTTTTTTTTTTTTTGTAATAGCTTTTTATATTTGGACATAACTGTAGGGACATGAAAATTTACTGTAACTGGCCAGTTTTCACTGTTTGCCGTGTTGTGGTGCAGTAAGTCACACACACCGCAGTACTCGGATGACTCTTGCCGCCTTCATGAAGCAGCTTTCCCCACTGCCCTTCACATATCACACTCATGCCCGCTGACCTCCACGCCAGGCTGGGCTGGGGAATCGTCTGGGGGGTCCACCTGCCATAGAATCCAGTAAGGAGGGTCGGACGGGGCCCCTGGCCTGAGTCTAGATCCTCCTCCGGACTTCCCCCAGCTGGACTCTTCCACCCTGTCTGTAGCCCCTGAAAACTTAGACAGTGATAAAGGTGGATTTAAATTGTGCTGTCATCCATACCTAGTAGGTCTGCTAAACAGGCATCTGGAAGCAGTAGGCTCATTCGTCATTGGCACTTATCTCATTGTGCCAGTGTTTTGCTTTATTATTATTATTTTTTAAGATTTTATTTATTTGTGGGGCGACTGGGTGGCTCAGTCGGTTAAGCGGCTGCCTTCAGCTCGGGTCATACTCTCGGGGTCTGGGATTGAGCCCTGCATAGGGCTCCCTGCTCACTGGGAAGCCTGCTACTCCCTCTGCCTGCCACTCCCCCTGCTTATGCGCTCTTTCTCTCTCTGACACATAAATAAATAAAAGCTTT